TGGTATTATTGCACAACGTTAACATTATTCCAGTTAACAACAATTTTTATTTGAATGTTATCTAACGCAGGTGGTGTGGCGGCTGAATGTGTTGGGTGATCTAGAAGGCATTACGATCTAGACGGCACCGGTGACAATTAACTCAGAAGGTTACCATTATGCACACTAGACCAAAGGTTAGGATTGGTTTTTTACTTTTAGATTAAAGCGTTTTTTACTCTGAAAAAAATCGACTGACAGAAAATAAATTATATTAGTTTTCTAATGGTATTATTGATTAATAATAAATTATCACTGTTATTGAATTTTAATGTCAATTGAAATAACAACAATTTTTATTCAATTTTTTGTAGGCGAAAAGATCAACGGTCATCATTGCCTTTGTATTATTAGTGGTATTGGTTTTCTTCAGATCTCATCTCTTATCTCTTCTTTTTCCGTGCTATGATTTCCAGGACTAGGCTGCTCGCCCAGAAGAAGGGGCAACTCCCCCCCCACAGCCAAGCTGCGAGCGGTACGCTCCCAGGATAACATGTCCCTGTACCTAACCACTCGGCTACCGCGGTCCCCTAAATGTCCCTGTACCTGGTAGGATTGTACTATCAAGTTTTAAGTTAAGTTACTGAGGCTCGGGGTTTGATGGTCTGCCTCTGTGCCAATGCCAGTAGGACCCTCGAGCTGACTGTTCATTCTGGCTTAAAACAGGAAGAAGTTTCCCAGGAACGAAACACCCCCAGCAGACCCAGGAAACAAAACCGCGCCCCCCATCCCTCAGGAAGAACACAGCCATATATANGACGGCACAGTGACTACCAACTCAGAAGGGTATCTAATGCAGGTCGCTTGACAAGGCAAGCATTATGTACAACAGTCGAAAGTCTATTATTGTTTTTTTTTTATATATTAAAATTAAAACTACACTTTTTTGAATTTCGAAATTTCTCTTATTCACCTAAGCTCACTTAAAGTTCAGTTGAAAACCGTGTATTATTTACAAAAGTAGATATGTGAAGTGCGTGATATTTTTCCTGTTAGTAGTAATAACAATTTTGTTCTGTTTTTTTATTTATTACAGTAAAACGAATTCATTAAGACAAATGCTAGAAAATTGCCCAATTTTGTTTGATCAAACCCCGTCATTACTAATTGATAAGAAATTTCATATGACGCAACAGTACAATTTGCACTTTATTTGATGTCCGGTTTCGCGAAACGTTCAATTATATTTTAAAATATCATGATTAGATGGCGACCGGAAATAATAGGTAAACGTTGGAAAAAATTAGTAAATTAAATCGTGCGGTTGTCGAAAAAATGACATGCAAGTTTTAAATCAACCGAGTTTAGTTATCTCAGTAACAGTTGATATTAATGTTTTTCTTTGATTTAATCCACGATTTAATCCAAGTTGTAAAAGTACAGTCATTATAAAATAAGGCCTTTTAACTTCCTGTCTATGGCCTCCGTATGTTCGATCGTATAAATCATGGATCAAATGCATGACAAAAGGTCTTGGCCAACTCCCCAAAACCAGCGGCCTGCAGCACTACCTACTGGCGGTGAAATATTGGGTTTTTTATTGCTTCGAATCTCACTAGGATGCGCGGAGGCATTTCTATAACGATGACTTGACGACGAATCCTTTTGGGCCTCGGTAATTATAAAAAGTTGCTCAGTTTTATTTATTTTCCTGATGAAGTGGCTATATTCGACAGCTCGAGGAAGGAACTGAGCGGTGCTTTTTATCCCACAAGCCAATATTTTGACATCAAGCATTTGAAAAGTGGCATTTTCACTCTTAATTTTCATCCTAGAAAGTCGGTATTGCATTTAGTTTGTGACCCATGTGATTATGGAAAAAAGTATTTATTGTCGTTCAAGATTGAGCCAACAAGTGATTGTACCTTTACTCACGCTACTGCAAACTCTAAACATTTTTATTTGTTTATATGGCTATTTATAGGACGACAAAAAATATAAAGATTGCAAGTCTCGTAATCGTAGGATCGCATGCTTTCACTAATTTAAGGGTAAAAATGTTCTTTCGGTAGTTTTGTTTTGTCAAAATGCCCTATCCTCTTTCTCATTTTTTTTACAAAAGGAAAACAATACAGTATATTTGTATAATATATTTGGTAATGGTAGCATTATGCAGTTTGGCCTATTAAAGGGCAGGGGAAAGTATTATTGGTCGTTTTAGTGAAAACTGAATATTCAATTATTTGACCCCATAGTAGGTCACAGAGCACATCAGTTTTTTGTCCATTGTATTAAACAACTATTGCATGCTTGATGCAGTTCGTCTTTTGTATTGTCTTCCATGGTATTTTTGATTCAAAATCAATTTGCTAATTCGACCATCCTAACAAAACCATTCTTACAAATTAAAAAAAAAAGTTTTGACATTTCAAACAAGACAGAAATATTTGTACTTAATATTTCATGCGCTTCGAAACACATAGATTCATCATGAAAAATACTTCGAATCTTTATTACATTTCCTTTGTGGCTGGACACATTGTGAGATTTGGAAGGTATGTCGATCTATATGGCACCGGTGAAAAAGAAATTAGAAATCTAACGAAGGGGGTGTTGCAGCTGAAAGTGTGGAGTTAGATCTAGAAGGCACCGGTAAAAACAGTTTAGACGGTTATATAACTTTTTTTAATAAACGTTTTGAAATTATTAATTATTAAATCAATTATATTTTGGAGTGGTCGATTGACCAAATAACTTCTTTCAATTAATTAATCTTTATGTAAGGTATTGGTTGAAATGAAAAAGTTAGTGACACGAGCTGGATTCGAACCCACGACCTTCGGCTCAATTCGCCTCTGCTCTAACCACTTGAGCTATCGTGATTTCGATCCACTCGGACACCAACTCCCCATCTCAAGCTCGAAGGTCGTGGGTTCGAATCCGGCTCTTGACACTAACTTTTTCATTTCAACCAATACCTTACATAAAGATTAGTTAATTAAAAGAGATTATTAACTATATATTTCAATTCGAAAATAATTTGTACCCAATGTTTGATCGATCGTAAAATAACGTTTTGTTTGTTTAAACTATATTTCAATTTATTTACAAGGTGTTTTTGGTGTGCGTATACTTCCCCTGCCAAATTTGAAGTAAAACATTGTTTCATTTTTTGAAGAAATATCGTGTGAAGTGAAAGCATTTTCGTGTAGAGGAAAAGTCATTTAATATTGTATAAATATATAATAAATTTTATAAAGTATTATTACACATACACACCTTTACTTTTGAAAAGCGAGTGTTATGAAAATCCCTTTCTGATTTCAAATATGATCGATTTTTTTGTAAACAATGGTCACACGTGTGGTTTCAAGTGCCAAAGCCCTCTTTCGTATCAATCATCTCACGGATTGATGAATGCTGGCCCCATTTTTGGTAAGAACCTCCAGCGATTCACGGTGGGCTGTATAGGCCTTTTTTGAGATGGCAACTTAGTGACGCCTCGTCGATATTCGTCGTGTGATGGCACGTGAATTAGTAAAACGATTCATCTTTCTGGGATTACCCTTCTCATCGATCGAGGCTTTTTGAGGAGGCCCTTTTCCTTCTTCTTTTTTTGAATGCTGTCTTCAATTTGAATAATCGATTCCATTTTGAATGTAGAGGATATTTGAGTTTAAAAAATTAAATCAATAATTTTAAAAAGTAAGACCTGCGTCTTTTATCACTTTTCATGAAAGGGCAAGATAAACTACTCAAACAGCAAAACGTCAAAATTACAATACAAATTAATCCAAACCAACCTAATTTAAAAATAACATCGCTTTTGTTCTATTGAAAACCAAGTAAATAATGTTCACATTTGCATGACATTACGCGGCTCTTTTATATTTTTCCAATTATAGTAATTTATTAGTTTTTGAGAATCCTCGCATTTGATCGGTTGCCAAATACATTTGTGAATTTTCTCATTTTCAGATTTCTCTTTGCACGTACATGCAAATTATGATATATTTAATCATCTGTCTGTTATCATGTGTTCCACTGTGATCATTTCTCCTCAGAACCGGCACCTACGTGGTTCTCCTCCATTAAAAGTCGTCTGTGTGTGATCTTAGTGACCTAGGCGCTTCTTATCACTACTGGGCAGGCCTCACCTCTCTGCGGCACTAATTATTCGCACTCTTTCAATATACGTCTTAACAAGGCTTGTACGCCCTAAAGCTCGTAATGTTCAAGAAAAACCATTGCAACAGTTCAATTGTTATCCACCAGTGATGTATTTGTCAGTTTTCACAACTTTTTTTTCAGGGGGTTCGTAACAGCAGAGGTCATAGCAACCCTCGGGATGTCGGTGTTTTTTAAAAAGGTCCTTGACGCCTTGTCTACGTTTTAACCGTTCCACCGACGCCACGCTTCAATAACTTAAAAAAAAATTAACAAATCATAAGAGTTATATTTCCAGAGGGTTGAGAGGATATCGTGAGAGGATTGAAGAAAAAAATCATGTTTGACACTAAAGCAGAGTTTCAATTAATTAATCTTTATTTAAGGTATTGGTGGAGATAAATAGTCAGTGTCAAGAGCGGGATTCCAATCCAGGAGGGTTGAGATGGGAGGTTAGTGCCAAAGGTCGTGGGTGCGAATCCTGCTCAGACACTAACTTTTTCATTTCAATCAATACCTTACATAAAGAATAATTACTTGAACGTTGTTATTTGGTCAATCGGACCAAGAAATCTAATGAATCTAAAACAGAGTTATGAAGTTACATCTAGACATGCTACGAGGATTCGCAAACCTACTATGCAACATAACTTTGAAGTAATGTTTCAAAACAGTCAAGCAATGAAACGTTCGTACGTTGTACGAAGTTGTACGAACGTTTCGATGCTACAGTTACTTATACGGTGTTGCGTCTAAATCGAGAAGGTTATAGGTCGTTCATGTCTTGACCCATTTTTAGTCTCATATGGTCAGGATTCATGGTTTAGTTTCATATTTAAGAGTTTTTCGTTTCAATCAAATATATTTAAAAAACAACTACAATTTAAAAAATAATGGTTTATTTCAATCTATACAAGAACGACAGCTTTGCCAGAATTTTCGCCTTTGAATAGACCCAAGAATGCTTCGGGTAGCTTTTCGAATCCATGGTAAGTAGTTTCTTTGAAAACCAGCTTTCCCTGTTGATAAATTTTTTTTTATTGTTTATCTCCTAAGCCAACGAAGTTTTGGTTTTTACCTGTTTTATCCATTCTATGTTTTGCTTTATGCCTTCGAACCATCGGTTCATTCCGAGCCACCTTTGCACCAGAAAGCCCTCAATTTTTAGCTGCTTGAGAATAACATCCATCTGGATGGCGGAAGCTTAAAGTGAAATCATAGAAAAAGATAATTATCATCGATTTCTGTCAAATGTAACCAAATAATAAATTCTAAACTGGCATTGGTCACTTATGGGATACGTCTTCATTGGCTTGTTGATCTATTCAAACGCGTTTTGGCATTGCATCATCTTCAGTGAGACACACCTTGTTCTTCAAGTTCGGACCCAATAGTTGACCTAATGCCGGTTCAGCATCACTTCACCGACACACCAGCATCTAGCGTAAATAAAATACTTACCCAAAACGGGCTTGGTCTCATTGTAAGTAGATACAGATCCGCAAACGGCCACCCTTCCAAAATTGTTCATACAAGAAATCACGTCGCTGCTCATTTGACCGCCAACCTAAAAACATCAGATGAAATCATCCAGAAAATTAATTTTATAAGTGCTCTCTCTATTGTCGTTACATTGTCGAAATAACAGTCAACGCCTTCAGGGGCTGCTTTTTTCAACGCTTCGAGTACTCCAATTTTTTTGTAATTGAAGGCCCAATCAAATTTGAGTTCTTTTAATAGCCAATCAACCTTCTTATCAGATCCAGCAAACCCAATGACTTTAGCGCCTGTAATGATGAATTTGTTTTAATGACAATATTTGTCAAGTTGTTTTTTAATATTGTCTAATCTGATAATATTGATTAATCAGAAAAATCTATTAGACCTGTAAAAGTTTGGTAACAACTTTGCCATTTCTCTTATCATATCATGCAAACCTCGCAACAAAATATTTAATGATAGCTCGGTTCAAAGAATTAGTATACCTTTGATTTTAGCGATCTGTCCTACTAGAGAACCAACAGCACCAGCTGCACCACTCACAACCACGACCTCTCCTTGGACGGGTTTGCAGATTTCAAGCAGACCGAAATAAGCCGTATTCCTGAAATTTTATTTTATAAAAAAAAAATTCTTTATAAAATGTGAGTTAAAGACGGGATATTAACCCTGGCATTCCCAAAACGCCGAGGCCCAACGACAACGGTAGCCCTTTAAAGTCAGGCAGAAGGTAAGGCTCTTCATTTCCTCCGAAAGGGGAGAGCACATCCTCGGGTCTTCCGACGTAGTCTGTCTGCCATCCAAAATATCCGACGGCGTGGTCGCCGACTTTGAACTTTGGGCTGTTTGACGCAACTACCCTAGATGTTTAAAAACGAATTTATATCATGTATATACTGTGTGTAAGATAAAAGCATACTTAGCCACTTGGGCGCCGAACATCGTGTTCCCGGGTGGAACGACACTTCCGACAGCTCTGAAAAATTTATGACAGACATCAGTATGTATACACATGTGAAAATTTGTTTTTAAATGAAATAAAACACTTACCTCATGTATGGATCCACGCTAATTGCAACGGCTTTGAAATGAACTTCTGCAAATTAAATACAATGCTTGATTTCTAGTCAATATAAAATAGTAAAAGTTTAATTTTAATTCTTAAAAAAATTCAAAGACTGGATCCGAAAAATCACTGAATAGTCTGAACATTGAACATTTATGATTATGATATATTATATATTATGATAAACGGTTTGGATGTATGCTAGATTTAATTAATGTTTTATATAAATTTGTTTTTTTCTAAAATTTTTCTAGTTGATTTTTAAAAACCACTATTTATAAGATCTTATTTTGTAAGTTACAAAAAGGTGGATTCAATCAAATTCCTTAGTGTGACGCTTGACAGGAAACTTGATTGGAAATGTCAAATTAATAACATATACAGGCAAGGAACAATATCAATGGTACAATGTAGGAGAATTGTTAAACCACGGGTAGCCAAATGGCTATATACTGCAATTATTCTACCTAGATTATTTTCGCAACTTTAGTATGGTGGAAAGGTCTAGAAAATAAAGGGAACAGTAAAAAATTAAGGTCATTACAAAGACAAGGTTTTTTGTTGATGACAGGAGCATTTTCAACTACACCCACCCTAGCACTTGACATCATAACCAATACTCCACCTCTTCACATTGAGGTTAAGGTCAGAGCTATCAGCTGCTACAGATTAATTAGCGAGGGCAGCTGGAATCATAAGTGCAATAACATAAATAACTCGAAAATCTCACAACTATTGAGTAAGGTTAACGGCCAATTATTAAGCGTTAGTGATAAAAAGATTAAAACCCCTCGGGGAAAAAGTACTTTCAGGTAGTCACCCCTGTGACTATAATTATAGTTTGGATGATGACCATCGCAACATAGACTGCCTGAGTGGTGCAGGAATACCTAAATTAGGAATCAGCATCTCGTCCCTCTTGGCAATAACAGCTCCGTTTTTCAGGCGGAAATCTGGGCCATTAATGTGTGTTGTGGAACACTTATGGAAAATTAAGGGCAAGGATATTAGTAATAATTTTTTATGGCAGTCAGGTCTGACTTAGGTCATTACAAAAAAATTTGTCAACCTCAAGACTGGCGGAGGTAACCGGAGATCTTATCAATAGGATCTCTTCCAGGTTTGAGAACAAGGTAACCCTTATTTGGACATCAGCACATAAAGGACACCATGGCAATAAAAAGGCGGATGGTCTGGCTAAAGAAGGCTCCAATCCTCCGTTTGTCGGGCCACAACCGGTATTACCTTACAATGAGAACTTCGAAAGAGAGTATTAATAACTGGGGCAGGAAACAATTCCTTAGGGAGTGGAATTTATCCCCCGGATACAGGCAATCGAAAGAGTTCGTTAAGGTGATCAAACCAGCAGAATCGAAATGGCTATTCTCTATCTGAAGGAAGGGAACTAGACGGCTGATAGGTATTCTGACGGTCCATTGCTCACTGAGAAGACAACTCTCCGTAATGGGTTCTCTACCTAAAAAAAGAAACGGCAAGGCACTACCTCACAGAGTGTGATAAGTATGCTAGGTCCAGATTTGAAATCTTTCAAGGAGCGGTCATCACCAAATCACTCTCCGAGATAAAATTTGTCCAAAATCTTGGGGTTTGTGAACAAGTCGAAGAGATTTATGCAGGACACGTGAGCCGACCCAGGTCCCGGACCTTTTAGGGATGGGGTACGAGTCTACCCAGACATTTAACCCCTCGGGTCTTGGTCGCCCGCCCTGCGTAATATATATATATAACTTTATATATATATATATCCAGCGGCCCTGCATTCGAACCTGACATACTTACAAATGGGCTTTTTTTAAAAACACCAACAAAACTACCCTGAGGGTTTATATGACCTCTACTGTTGCGAATCCTCGGGAAATACTAACTCTTAGAAATAATGCCAGAAAAAAATTTAATGTAATTAAGGTTAAGGACAATTTACAAACATCATTCCACAAGTAGCCTGCCTCACAAATACACAGACTACTGAGACGGAAGACCTTTGCGATTTGGGATAAATTTTAAAGGAATGTTTACAAGGGCCCGGTCACGAGAGGCTATTTACCTTTCATTGCGGACAGGTCGGAAGCCTCTCCATATTTACACCTGAATTTTAAAATGACGGCGTGTCCAACAGGTCACGGTCGCTTTAGGAATTATTTGTTCAAACTAAGAATTATTTATTATTTAGCTCTTTATTTCGACAATCAAACGCCACAGACGCCAGAATATGTGATCTCTCCAAAGGACTACTGCTTAAAAGCATGCGAACAATAACTAACAACAAATATCTTAAGTTACCTGTTTGTCATCAATATTTTAAAAAATTCATAAAACAACTTGACCTGTAATTTAATCGCCATACAAATCTCTCATAATCCAGCTACATATATATAGTATGTAATATATATATAGAGCATATATATAAAATATTATATAATTTATAGTGATGATAGTTTTGTAAAAAATAGTACAATGTCTGGGCTGTTCAATACTTTACCCTTTCAGAGTGTCCTGGTAAAAGAAAAAAAAAGAAGAAAAATACATCATATTTATGAATAATGTGTTCAACCATAATAAGTAATGCAATTATAATTAATATTATATAGTCATTTAATATTTTGGATTATTGATAGTCAAACAGAAACAAACTGCACAATTGCTAAGTGACAGAAATTTAAGAGCCTTTTTTCTCAGTTACTTTCAAACCGCCAGGATCTTTTGGAGATAAATGGTCGGGAAAGTAGAGTGCTTTTTATAAGAGAAGCTCGGACGTTTCAAAAGGTTTCGTCCAAAAATATTGAGCATTTCGTGAAGTTCTTTTATAATGCAGTGCTTTTAAGTACGTATCGTTAAATTCCGCCAACTAATAGCTGTTTAAAGGAAAATTATTACGCATTTGCACATAAAAATTGATAGATTTCCTCTGACAACATAAATCCTCTGTGATGACGTTCAAATATTTCTACAAATTATTTAATGTATTGCGATTACATATTCAAAAACCATGAAATGATATTTAAAAAAGATATAATCAAAAGATAAAAAAGATAAAATCCTTTAAACTAACGGAGGAATTCAAATCTCTATTGCGGAAATCACTGAGAAGCCGCTATGTTTTTCTAAGGTAGCATAAAAATTATCCCGAAGTTCTACCCGTGAATTCAAAAATTTATTTTAGATATTGTAAAAGTAGTTACCTTTTACATTACCTTACATGCAGATGCAGGATCTAAAAGTTGTAATTTTTCGGAAATAATTTCCATAAATATTAGTTTTTCCACCGTAAATAATTTTTTCGAAGAATATGCCTTTTTTAATAAGCAACATAAACGTTGGATATTCCAAAGCCCTTATGATTAATGACTATTATTATATGATTTAGTTAAATTCAATGTTATGCAATGATTTAAGTACGTTGGATTTGCATTCAGGGCTGCTGAGATTCGAACCCGAGACCCTTACAGTAATGAATCGCCGTGATAACGCCTTAATCGTTGCGGCCACCGCCGCCCCCTTGTTTGTTATTAATGAGAAGCATTCTTGAGAAAAACTACGTACTACCATAACAATCTGACTTAGAATGTGTTTATTATTATTATTATCATTATTGTAAATAGTTTCTAATAGTGACTGTGTCGTTTGAGTCGTTTGTAGTAGAAGTCATTAGTTTCAATGAGAATGTCTAGGGGTGATTTTCGTTTTTCCTCACCGTAAAAATACTGCTAAAGATAAAAGATAAAACTTAAGGATTTATCACACGTCCTACTAAACATTTCTTGTTCCAGATGCACTTAAAGTTTTATACAATTCCTCTGTAAGACTAATATTAGATAACTGCTCACTTATTTGAGCTCCGTTCCAATTCAGGCGTACCAGTCGCATGAAAGTAGTTCAAAAATTATTGCAGTGGGGTCTGGATGGATCATTGGTGTGAAACTTTTAGAATCGGGAATGGATCATTTCAAAGGTCGTTGTGGATCGTGAGGTTAGAGATGTAGCTGTCTGAGGACTTTTGATTAGAAGAATTGGATACGCTGGATGACAGATGGCTTGGTAGTTTCCCGCAGTTCCATTCCGATTGTCCAAATTGGTCGCAGTATTGCCTTGTGTATGCTAGTTTACTGGGTAATTCCTAGCATGGATTTCGGTGCTAAGAGTTTTTGTACTTCACCAAGTAGTTTTTTAAGTAATTTTTTTTAATGTGAACTTACACTGTGTGCATTTATTTTTTCCCAAAATATTAATCAGATAGTTTTAATACAAACAGATTTCAAATTGTTTCAGTTAATTTCTATTTTTTTATTGCGACTATTTCTAAATTGTTGTATAGTTTAACCTTTATACTTTTATTTATACATTTGTGATTTGGAAACTGTTAAACAAATAAATAATTACAATTTTGCTTGTTGTGTTTATATATGCAGTTTAGAATTGAAAGAAAGAAAAAGAGTATCATATTTATGTCTGTGCAACCTTTTGTAAATAAATTTATTTCTGATTGTTTTGTACGTTTTGAAATGAATTTTTTGCCGACTGAAAAATATGCTTGAATAATCGTACGTATTACGTTAAAAGGCGGATTACGGTGAACGTGTAGAAATACATTTATTGCTGACTAAAGAAATAATTTTGAAGAATTGTTCTTTTAACCGTAGAATCCTCAGTATGTCGAATAGCACTGAAATGATTTTATTCTTAATTGAACAATGTGCTCGAAAAACCGCGGTTGTGGGCTTAAAAATCTGAATACGTCCCATTCACTGGAAATAAAATGGTAACTAAAAAATGTATTTCTTATCCATTTTATTATTTTTGTTAATTTTATTTTATATGTTTGTATTAGGTACAGTATCTTTAAAATTCATATTTTTGAAATAAAAAACTTTACTGGATTGCAGTAGTATCTATAAACTTTTTTTAAAAATATAATTTGTTTAATACGTGTTAGGAAAAACTTATTAATTTTTATTATTACGTGTTTTAAATTGCAAGTAATTCTAGTTTTAGAATTTTTGTGACGAAACAAATATACAGACTTTTACATTCAAAGTGGAATAAATTTTTTAACACGACGCTATTTTGCACATAAATTGGAAAAGTGTGTTTTCCTATTCAAAGCCTGGAGATTTTCTAAGTCAAGACATCAAATTAATATTTAATTTTACCTCCAGCCTTCAGAGACGGAAGGGTTCCATCCTCCAGTCTGAAATTCGACGGTTTCGGCGCCCCCTCGAACTTTTCGGCGTAAATGAATTTTTTCACTTTATTCGGCATCCTCAACTTTTTTATTTCCAGAAAAGCGGATTAATACAACACTCCCGGAACCGGAATAAACAAAGTCCTCAGGTCACAAGGCGTTATATAAACGAAGTAGTGGGGCTGAAGTTTCCCCCGTTGGAGGCTTTCGGAATTTAACCGTTGTTGTCGAAGTCCAATATAACGTTTCCGAGCCAAAATCAACTCGGCCTTCAAACATTGAACAACTTAAATATGCAGTACATTATATTGTACAAAAATAGAATGGGTGATGAGATAATAAAATGTTTTAAAAAGCAAAACTTAACAAATTTCACGATTAGATTTATGGTTCGGTGTATATTCAAATGTTAGGAAGATAGTATCATGTAACAAATAAAACGTATTTCTTGGTTTAAGGATCAAGAAATCGCCTTTTCATTTTTTAATACTGTACAATGGCTCCCTGAGAGTCTGAAATGAAAGGAAAGGGTCATATTCACCCGATTGGAATCTTTGGATCCGTTGGGACTTGGAATGCTCGGTTGATCCCCAGAGTTCGATATCGTAAGTCCACACAGGCTGGAGAACTGTGGTGTACATTAAACTTTTGTAATTAAGTGGAAGTTTGCATCATCTGTCCAGTAATCATGATAAAAGTTTGTAATATCTGTTTAATTCGTTTCGTTTTAGTCTTGTGTTTAGATTCCAAATAATTCCTTTGTCTAAGTGAAGTCCCAAGTGACGTACGAGGTCGACAGGGGGAGTGAGATCCCGTGAAAGTAAACAGGTGGTAGTGCTAAACGTCTGAGTGAAAAGTTTATGTATTGGCACTTCGTTGCGTTTATTTTAATTCTCCACGTTTTGTACCAAATGTCGAGTCACTTCAAAAGATTTTGAAGGTCTCTGTTCGCAGTGACTGGATCTTTATGCGGGGAAAGGATTGCTGTATCATCAGCAAATGGGGAGAGCAAAGGGTTCCTGGAAGGATAGGGGTGTAAGAGGTATATATCGTGTAAAGGAGAGGTCCAAGAATTCTGCCTTGTGGGATGCCAACTTGAATACGATAGATAGAAGTTATCGCTGTACTCTGACTAAGTAACGGTCAGACAGGTAGAGCAATAATCCCTTTCCACACATCCCTATGCCTTGATTTCGACAGCACAGTTCCATTACCATATCAGATAATCCTGCCCCGCGACTGAGACGCCGATGGCCACGTGATGCCATACGTAGTAACGAAAAAAATTGAAAAGTGGTTCTACTTTTCCAAAAAGTGAATTGCCCTTAAATCATTTTTATCGGCCATACCTGTCTTACATATGGACTCCTGTTTTTGGGTAAGAGATAGTGATAGCTTAGTGTGTCACATTTAATTGAAGAGCTCCATGCCTTGGCCCCTTCCAGGGAGCGAGTAGGCATGGACCCTGACTTGGTGGTGGGGGGGGTCGTATATTGGGTCCCTTGTTCCGTTTCTTAAGAGAAGGTGCTTCCTCTGATAAATAATATATATACTGTGTACATGTGAACATGTAAAGGTATATTGTGGAAGTACATTTGTTTGTATGTGTATATGTTATATTTGTAAATAATTAAACTATGAATGTACCGCATAGGGCCGGTGGTATATCGAGGTCCTACAGGTCATAACAGTGAGCGGAGGTTGAAATGACTGAAATAAAAGAAAAAAGTATTACGAAACTCCTTCCACTTTGCAGACGGACGTTAGAAAAACGTTTTCATTCATCCTTCAACATTTTAAATTTCATTAGTCTACAGTTTTATTATTATTGATATTGTTTTAAGGTCATATCAGAATCAGACTACGTTCCCACTGACCTATTTTGATATTTCCTAACTTTAAACTAAAATTAATACTTATTCTATCTTTTCCGTTGTCTAATATTGCAAATAGTGCGATGACCTGAAAAAAAATAAATAGCTCGACTGATAATATGTTCTAGGGCATGAAGACAGGATTACAATTATCGGTCGAACTTTCATTTTCATGTTTTTCAGTACGGTGCAAGTAGTCCGGTAATTCTGTAGCCTGTTGTAACGTACCATAGAGTAAGTATGCTCATTAATTCGCCATTTAATTTTTTATTTATTTATTACAATCTGTGCTTATTTACGTTATGAGCTGGATTTACAATATTTGCAAATGACATAGATCATGCGACGAGAGGGGAGTTGACAACTATTTTCGTTCTCCCAATTTCACGAAGGACTAATCCTCCATTATCTTCTACCTTCATTAGAAAATGTTTAACATGCATAAGGAGATTTTCACAATGGTTATTATATATGTTTTCAGATTATCAAAATTTTAACGGAGTTTGTGCTGTACCAAAAATGGAGAATCATGATTTTTTTTTAATGACCAGTTGTTTAATAATTTGTTGGATTCGTGAGGAGCGGGATAGAATGTTTAGAACCTTTTTCATTTTTTTGCCGACTATTCGACCTTTATGCCCTTTAGATGACCCGAATAAAGGCTCCTCACGAATCCTACAAATTATAATTTTTTGTGTGATAATAAGAAAGCTCTCATAGCAGACATAACCCCCTAAAAACTACTTCATACAATTTAAAAATATAGTAATAGTTATGAAGATTTAGAATCAATTCTGAAACCGTCATAAGGTTGTAATTGT